ACGGGCATGCTTGACACCAACATATAGATACTCGTCACCATGCATATACGTCGTACTCAACAAATATCATGTAGCAAATAGGACTCGACTCCTAATCCTTCAAGCTAAGGTTAGACCAAACACTTACCTCGATGCCACGAACACAATTCACGTCTCCACTATCGCTTTACCCCTTGATTCCACCACCAATTCGCTCGTATCTAGCCACAAGTTACTTAATTACAACAATAACGCTAAATGAATCAATTCCAATGCATGAAAATAAGTTTTCCAAAGTTTTACCCAAAAAGTCAAAAATCGCCCCGGGCCCACATGGTCAAAACCCGAGGTTCGAACCAAAACTCGATTACTCATTCTCCCACGAACCCAAATATATAATTTATTTTAAAATCGGACCTCAAATCGAGGTCCAAATCCCCAATTTTTGAAAAAACCTAAGTTCTACCCAAAATACCCAATTTTCCCCATGAAAATCATTGATTTTGAGTTGAAATCATGTTAAAAGATGTTAATGATTGAAGGAAACGAGTTGAAATTGACTTACAATTGATTTAGAAGAAGAATTGTTCTTGAAAAATCGCCCTAGGGAGTTTCTGTTTTGAAAGAATGTGAAAAATGGTTGATTTTCGGCTAAGTATAAAAATTGCAGGCTACAGACATGGGAATTGCGAACAGGGTTCGCAATTGCGAACCCCGACCTCTGCTAGGTTCGCATTTGCGAGCTAGGAATTGCGATCCATATGTTGCATTTGCGATGACTGGCCTCAAGCTGGGGGATCGCATTTGTGATCAAAATCCTCGCAATTGCGAAGATAGGCTGGCCTGGGCTGCTTTCGCAATTGCGATCAAGCCCTCGCATTTGCGATATCGCATTTGCGAAGTCTGCACAGATATAGCTGAAGCCTGTAATTCCTTAAGTCCAAAAATTCACACCGTGGCCTATCCAAAACTCACCAGAGCCCTCGGGGCTCCAAACCAAACATGCACACCAACCTAAAAACATCATACAGACTCGCTCGTGCATGCAAATCACTAAAATAAAATCAACAATTATGAATTTTGCATCAAAATCCTGAAATTTTCTCAAGAACTTCAAATTTTTAATTTTTCTCAAAACGATCCGATTCACGTCGCTTCAAGTGCATTTCTTACCAAATTTCACAGATTTATCTTAAATCACATATAAGACCTGTAGCGGGGTCCGGAACCAAAATACGGGCCCGATACCATCAAGTTTTAATCACAATTCATTTTTAAATCTCATAAATAATTTTAGAAAATAATTTTTTTTAAAATTTATTTCTCGGACTTGGGACCTCGGAATTCGATTTCGGGCATACGCCCAAGTCCCATATTTTCCTACGAACCCTCCGGGACTGTCAAATCACGAGTCCGAGTCCGTTTACCCAAATTATTGACCGAAGTCAACTTAATTCATTTTATAATCAAAATTTATCATTTTCCACAGATTTTCACATATTGGCTTTCCGGCTAAGCGCCCAGACTGCGCACGCAAATCGAAGTAAGACAGAAAGAGGTTTTTAAGGCCTTGGAACGCAGAATTTACTTTTAAAACAAGTGATGACCTTTTTGGTCATCACAACACTAGACAAAATAGTCATTTAATTACTTCCCTATAATTTAGGACATTTAAATCAACTAAAATTTTGACTATTAAATTTTTATTATTATTTGAATTATGCAAAAATTCCTAATATTTAGGAATATAAAGTCAGCAGTTATACGTTGATTTAATTGTCCAACAGAACTACATTCAAGTAATCATATTCTAATTACCAACGCTATATATAAGATAATTGCTTTTATTTTCTAAATAAAAGGTATACCTCTTTTAATTTTGATACAAAACTGAAAAGGTTTTGAGTTTATATGAACAGATTATGTGCTAGGGTTAAATTTTTTTTTTTACCATGTTAAAAATAGACATATAAATTGTAAGCACGTAATTTTTGACCCGTCACATTTTAGACTATTTTTAGTATTTAAAACATTCATTTAACGTAACTTTAATTTTTATGAAATTTTAGTCAATTTTTACTTCATATTACAATTTAAAAACACAAAAATATTTTTTATCTTTAGTTGAAGGTCAATTAGTATATTTATGTTTATAGTATTTTAATTTTACTATGATTTTATCTTTGTTTATTTTTCATTTAATATAGCCTTTGATTTTTTTTTAATAATAATAATAATAATAATAATAGTACAAAAAAATAATAGTTTTATTTTTAATATAGATTAACATTTTATCATTTTGGAAGGAGAGAATGAATTTTAGGATGGTTCTTAACTTATTTTCACGTTGAAATAGCACGGGCTAGCCAGTTTTCGGACTGGATACTCAATAATAGCCAGCGTTTGCAAAGTCATTGAAAAATAATTACTATTTTGCTGCAATAAGGATCGGTCCAGCATAATATACTGGAGATCGGTGCACCTGTATACGAACTTCCAACAAATTATGATGAAACTTCAATACGCGAAAAGTTCCAGCATAATATACTGGTGATTGAAACACCTGTATATCGACTTCCAGCATATTATACTGGACCAGTATATTATACTGGAACTCCAGTATATTATGATGGGGTTCCAGTATACTTAAGTTGGAACTCCATTATAATATGCTGGAGTTCCAGTATACTTATGCTGGAACTCCAGTATATTATGATGGGGTTCCAGTATACTTAAGTTGGAACTCCATTATAATATGCTGGAGTTCCAGTATACTTATGCTGGAACTCCAGTATATTATGATGGGGTTCCAGTATACTTAAGTTGGAACTCCATTATAATATGCTGGAGTTCCAGTATACTTATGCTGGAACTCCAGTATATTATGCTAGAGTATTTTTCGGATTTTGAACAGTGTTTTCGTTCAGATTTACCTTTACATAAAAGTGGCTAAATTTCGATTACTTTTGAAACTATGACTATTTTTGAATTTCTCCCCTGTTGATCTAGCTAAGTATGACCAACATTAATTATTTTCATCGTCAACTTATATATTTTTAATTTTTATTTTATAACTCAAACATATTATTTAATAATATTTATTAAATTTCATTAATTATATACAATTGATACACACGCAAAGTGCATTCCCCAAGATTGGTACTATACAGTAAATAAAGCAAGAAACTCTCGCACAAAATGCCCATCACTTTTTCTATCCTTCGTAAATATATTACATGTTGGGGCAAATTGATAATTACAATGTATGATTAAAAACTTTCTTAATTTTAATTTATTATAATTAATATTTTTTTAAATATAAGATTATTTACCACAAGAAACTATAATCTTTGTTAAAGAGTTGCAACTAATCTTTAAACTTCATATTTCATTCTTTCTATTATTTGAATTTTTCAAATAATTATAAAAATCTCAGTATTTCCTTGTATGGTCATGACAGTAGGAATGTAATAAGCCCCATTTCCAAAATTATAAGTTATTATTTCAAATTTTCAACAGTAAAACTTTGCTTAATATTTTAGAACTTTGAATTAACTACTCAAGTCTCTATAGGTTATAAGTTTTTTGAAACAAGAACCAAGGTAGTATATTTACATAAATGATTAAATGATATGCTAAATATTAACTTATCATATACTTTATTTTTATCTTACGGTAAGTGTGTTTACTGGTTATAAATAATAATAGCAATATTTTAGAGGCTTTTTAGCTCTTGGAGGCATAAATAACTTGTCGACTAAGTAGGCGTTTGGACATGAATTTCAACTTCTTTTTTTTCAAATTTGAAATTTCACTAAAATTTAAATTGAAGATGAAGTTGTGTTTAGTTATAATTTTTGTAACATATTTGGATGTCTTTTTTTTCAAAATCATGAAATATGATTTATACCCCACAACTTATAAAAAATATCAAAACCACCCCAATTTGTAAATTCTAAAAGTGAAATTTCAGATTATCTTGATGTTTTATTCGTCGAATTTGAAACTCCGTAATGATGATTATTTCAAAGACATGATCAAAAAGTGATCAACGAATGCTATTTCTAGGATATTATAGGGATGTAGGGCCAATTTAGATATACTAGGTAATTTATCAACTGACGTGAATTCAGTAATTTTGTCAGATCCTATATATATTGAGAGAAATTAACTAAATAATTAAGTAATTAATTAATTGTAAATATAATAATAATTATTATTAATTTGAAATAGTTATATGAACTTATAAATTTCAAGTTTTAAATTCAGAAATAAAATAAAAATAATAATTAAAAGAAAAACCCCCACAGCAACAAGACACAAGTGAATAGGGACTGCTGCAACTAGTCCCCATGTCTTTTTCTAACAGCCACCACTAGCTAAAACTCTCAAATCAAAAATCCCAAAATCCTCCATTCCACTAATTCACTTTCCATTATCCTCTAAATTCAAGGTAAGCCTTTTAAAAACTCAATCTTGATAACACCCATCACCCCCTTTTAGCTAAATTGTGATGAATTAATGCTGAAGTTATTAGCTTTTCTTGAGGCCACTTTGATTCATGGCCTCTTTGAAATTGTCCTTTTATGTAGATAAGTCATGGGAATCCAAGAAACTTAAATTTAATGTGAAAGCTTTGAACTTTACTGATTCTAAGTGTTTGGTTCCTTCATTTTTGGGCTATGGATATGTTGGTGGTGCATTTGTGGTTAACCCCTTTTGTAGTTTGAAGCACATTAGAGTTTCAAGATTAGAAACTGAGGATTTAGAGACTTCTGAGTTGAGTTTAGATGGTGAAAGGGTTGAGAATTTTGAAGGTGATTTAGGAAATGAGAGCTTTGTTTCTGAAAGATTAAATCTTGGTGGGGTTTCTAAGAAAGGGAAGTTTAATGTTTGGAAGAGATTTAGGAGGGTCAAGAGGGTAGCGAACTACTCGAAATATAGGTCTAGTTTCAGAGAGAAAGATAGGAATCATGGAATGCAAGAAAAAACCAAGGTTGTGTTTGATGAAATTAGTGAGGAGAATGTGATAGATAGTCAAAATGGGGTTGATTTTGATGCTGAGAATATCGGTTCTTGACTCGAGTTTGGAACGCTGCAATGCGATATTGAAACAACTCGAAAGTGGTGACGATGGGAAAGCGTTGAGTTTTTTCCGATGGATGCAGAAAAATGGAAAGTTAAAGCAAAATGTTACTGCCTATAATTTGATACTCCGTGTCTTGGGGAGAAGAGGGGACTGGGATGGAGCGGAGGCGATGATTAAGGAAATGAGTCTGGAGTCGGGTTGTGAGCTTACGTATCAGGTTTTCAATACCCTTATTTATGCTTGCCATAAGAAAGGGCTCGTGGAGTTGGGTGCTAAGTGGTTCCACATGATGTTGGTGAACCGAGTTCAGCCAAATATTGCAACTTTCGGTATGCTAATGGCTCTCTATCAGAAAGGTTGGAATGTTGAGGAAGCAGAATTTACATTTTCAAAGATGAGGAGTCTCAATATTATGTGCCAATCTGCATATTCAGCTATGTTGACTATATATACGCGAATGAGATTGTATAATAAAGAAGAAGAAATCAATGGTTTTTTGAGGGAAGATGAAGTAATTCTGTATCAGGAAAATTGGTTGGTTCTGCTCAATGCTTATTGTCAACAAGGCAAGTTAACCAAGGCTGAGCAGGTCTTAGCTTCAATGAAGCAATCTGGTTTTTCGCCAAATATAGTTGCGTACAACACATTGATCACTGGATACGGGAAGATTTCCAACATGCGTGCTGCACAACGCTTGTTTGGTGATCTTAAAAGGGTCGGAGTGGAGCCCAATGAAACAACTTACAGATCTATGATCGAAGGGTGGGGATGTGCAGACAATTATGAGGAGGCAAGGAGATACTATGTGGAACTGAAAAGACTCAGACACAAACCAAACTCGTCTAATTTGTACACGATGCTGAATTTACAAGTCAAGCATGGAGATGAAGAGGATGTTGTTAGAACTATTGAGGAAATGATGCACTCTGGCAGCGAAAAGTCAACCGTCCTTGGCATTCTTTTGCAAGCATACGAGAAGCTTGAATGCGTTCACAAAGTTCCTTCGATTTTGAGAGGTTCTTTATATGATCATGTTTTGAGAAACCAGATATCTTGTTCGAGTCTGGTAATGGCTTATGTGGAAAACAGCATGATAGATGATGCATTAAAAGTTTTTAAGGGAAAAACAGTGGGAGGATGCTTTATTTGAGGACAACTTGTACCATTTGTTAATTTGCTCGTGCAAAGATTTCGGATATCCAGAGAATGCTGTGAAAGTGTTCACTTGTATGCTGAAATCTTATAACCCGAACTTACACATAATACGCACTATGATAGACATTTACAGTACAATCAACGATTTTGCTGAAGCTGAAAAGCTTTATCTAATGTTGAAGATTCAGATGTTAAACTGGACATGATAACTTTTAGTGTTGTGGTAAGAATGTATGTGAAATCTGGAGCTTTAGAAGAAGCCTGCTCTGCGTTGGATGCAATGGAGAAACAAAAGAACATTGTTCCAGACAAATATTTGCTCCGTGATATGCTCCGAATCTACCAGCGATGTGACAAGCAGGACAAATTGGCGGATCTTTACTACAAACTTGTGAAAAGAGGAGTCATATGGGATCAGGAAATATACAGTTGTGTCATAAACTGTTGCGCTCGTGCATTGCCAGTTGATGAGCTTTCGAGGCTTTTTGACGAGATGCTTAAACATGGATTTTTACCCAATACAGTCACCTTCAATATTATGCTTGACGTTTATGGAAAGTCCAGGCTCTTCAAAAGGGCAAGAGAAGTTTTTTTGATGGCGAAAAAGCGGGGTTTGGCTGATGTTATCTCTTACAACACACTCATAGCTGCATATGGAAGAAGCAAAGACTTCAACCGTCGAGAAAATGCATTTCAATGGCTTTTCGGTTTCTCTAGAAGCCTACAATTGTATGTTAGATGCCTATGGGAAAGAAGGACAAATGGAGAAATTCCGTAATATCTTGCAAAGACTGAAGGAATCTGGTCATTCTTCTGATCATTACACCTACAACATTATGACAAACATTTATGGTGAGCTCGGGTGGATTGAAGAAGTTGCAAATGTACTGACTGAATTGAAAGAATCAGGAATTGGACCTGATTTGTGCAGCTATAACACATTAATAAAGGCATACGGAATTGCTGGTATGGCTGAAAGTGCAGTAGATTTGGTCAAGGAAATGCGCAAAAATGGAATTGAACCTGATCGAATAACCTACGCTAACCTAATCAATGCATTACAGAAAAATGATATGTTTCTCGAGGCTGTTAAGTGGTCTTTATGGATGAAGCAGATTGGATTGTAAGATCCAAATCTGACAAATATTGCTGTTATTAATCGTGGCTCAATCATCTCCGGTTTACAGGTATTACGTTATATTCACACATATGTTCATATTGATCTTCTTTGAATTGTACTGTATAAATCTTTTCGACTGCAAGTGTCCTACCTGCTATATTTCCTGGCATTGGAAACGCACCTTCCCGTGAAGTAGTTTGCATCAATTACTCCCTCCGTCCCAATTTATGTGACGGTATTTGGATGTGCACGGAGAATAAGAAAGAAAAGAAACTTTTAATAGAAATTTGTGTGGCTAGAAATCATCTCGTTAAGGGTAAAAAGGAAAATTTAAAGTTGATTTTTACCAAATATAGCAATGTACTATTCTTTTTGGTATTGACTAAAAAGGAAAGAGTGTCGCATAAAAATTTTTTGGGGACGGAGCTAATAATATATTTGCCATATTTTATTGCTGTATTACCTAGATTAAGACTGCAGAACTTTTACTAAGTCATGCATATGTTAGTATTTAAACCGACTCGTAGAGGATTTCAAGTGTTCTTTCAACTGCTGACTCGCTTATAACTCGTGTAACTGCATGTCTTTCACTGCCAATTTCTCTACTTATTAACAGTGTGATTCATTTTGGCCTATTCAGGTCAGGGCTTGTATTCTTCTTGTATAGACACTATAGTTTCCGGCAAAGATTTTACTGAGTAACCTGGAGTATTAGCGATGCTGGCTTCGCATGTAAGAGCAGGTCCTAGAAGGCCACATATATGCAGTCGTCTACTTGCGCAAAAAGTTTGTGTAACGTAATTCAAAGATACCTGTGTATTTATTGTCCCATAATACACCGGTTAGTGTATAGTTGTAACTATTTCAAGATGGAAAATAGCTTACTGTGATTGTTTAGTTGATCATCTGTATCTCCAGGAAGTCATCTCTCTGTTGTAATAAATCAAAATGGTAAAAGGCTCTAAACCATTTAGAGTGTATTAGCTGCTATATAACTGAGCCATTTTTGGTATATTTTCAATAAAAATCTCTGCCATTTTGTTTTCTCCTTTTGAAATTCATTGCTTTTAAGTATCAAAATGAGAAAGTCTTCGTTATGAATTTTAGAGGTGAAGCCAAAATCTAAGGGGGGATGTACACAAATAGCCGTTTTTAGGACTGCTATTTAGAGTTTAGCCCGTATTTATTTTATTCTGCAAAAATCTTAACTTTAGGGCTTTGTGTCTTGAAAAAATTGAACTGAAAAACTGAAATTCAGGATACACTGGCTAATTTTTAAGGAGCAACTCTCTAGAATGACTACCTGTGTCATTTCTACAAATTCTAAGAGGTTATTTGGTTGTGAAACAAGTTATCCCATGATTAATTATCCCGGGATTAGTTATTCCATCTACCATGAGAATAAAAAATAGTACAACCCCGGGATAATTAAGAATAGTTATTCCACGATTTTTATCCCAATTAAACGTGAAATAAACTCATTTCAAATTTAATTCCGAAATTAATTATCCCTTATTCTTCGTACCAAACGAGCCCCAAGGGTATAGGCGTGTCAGTCCAAGACATTTATCGCTTTGATACCTTTATGTATCTTATATATGAGACCTATGATGGTGAGAATGAGTTTTCCAAATGTGAAATTCAACAAACATTTAAGACAATGAGTTGAGAAATCTAAAAAACTATTATAAATCTCGATTGATGCTCAGAATTGGACATTATGCAACTCAACAACCATAATAAGTGGCTTCCTTTTTCGTACTTTAAGAGTGTATGACTTAGTGGTCAATAAATTAGATGAAAACGAGAAAAAATTAGGTTAAAATAACGCTTGGCAATTTTTTTTATTTGCCTAATTCTTGATGGGCAGTACCTATGCTGGTGAGATAGTCAAGGCTCGGTTAAGCTGGTTAAGACCTCATCTTTATAAAATAAAATAAAAAGTGACTTTTCTTTTTCATTTTCCTTTTAGCGGAAATATATGATGTTTGGCTGGGTGTTATCTTCAATTTTTTCTTGTTGTTAATGCACCACACTAAAACTATAAATGGGATTTTTTGTGTCCTAAACTAGAGAGCCATCTTGAGAGATTTTTTTTGCTATAACTATTTAGTATTCGGAATTTACTGACCCGACTAATTCAGATTCACATTGCGTACATTCAATTCAAGGAGGAAGCGATCTCTATCATATATTTCTCCATTCTCAAGACTCAAATCCGAAACCTTTTGTCAAGGGCGGAGGATCCTTCTATCCCGTTACATCTTTTGGTTGACTATTTGTTGTACGGAATCCGTACCTTCCTGTTATAGTAAACCTTATAAACATCTGCCCGTAATTGGTTTCAAGTAACTTAGTATTGATTCTTTTATACTACTAGTGTATAAATTATATCAATAAAAATCTAAAAAGACCACTTTCTAGTTCTTCATTTACCTAGTAAAAAGTAATTAGATGTTCTTTTTCGGTAATTTTCACATATTCTTGCTTTCTATATCACCCTTTGCTCACCAAGCCAATAGCCCGTGGCCTTATAAGAAGTCTACAGCTACAGATAGCTCAGGTCGAGGCAAGATGTCATCGGACGTTCAACATGTAGTCTCACGATCTGGTACTTATGCACGGACATTGTCATTGTATACTACAGCAGGTCGCCGCCAAGGAAAGGAGGAGGACATTGGGTGAGATCTATATATATAAATACATGTCACGTTTTTATTGAATTAATGTGAATACCGAATGCGAGTAGATTTTTACACTAACATAAACCTAGCACTTGTACGTAATGCAAGTTTAGAGATCAAATTCACCTTCGCCAAAAGTCAATATCATGATGCCATTGGACGTTCAACATGTAGTTTCCCGATCGGGTACTCATGCCCCGACATTGGCATTGTATAATTCCGTGGGTCGCTGCTTGGGGAAGGAAGGAAATACTGGATGATCTATATACAAACATATGTCATGCATTTATTGGATTGATATAAATATAAACTATCTTGCACGTAGTGAAAATTTAGAGTTCAAATTCGCTTCACCAAAAGTCAATATCATGATATTACGGTACCACATAATTAAAAAAGAAAAATTAACTCAAGTTTAGACCCATCATATTTGTTCCTAATTATTTCTTAAGTTTTAATTTTAAGCTACATATAGAGTTTTTTTCTTTATACCTGCTACTAGGAGTGTACATATGTCGGGTTGGTTCGGATTTTACAATTACCAAACCAAACCAATTGTGTCGGGTTATTAAATCTAAAGATCAAACCAAACCAATAAAACTCGGATTTTTCACTCTCGATTTTTCTCTGGTTTTCAGATTTTTCCACGGTAAAATCTTTGTAGAACAAAACATATAAATTGTGCTTAAAACATTTCTTTAGTCCTAGTAAGATATAACTATATAAACTATTTTCCAAGAAGATAATACAAAATATGAGATGTGTCATGGCATTATCCTAAAATATTCAATAATAAAGAAAATAAAATTATGTAATATAAATATTGCTAATTAAAAATTCATAATAAACTAAACATAATCTAAAAGTACTAAGTCATGCTAAAATAAGTAGACTACTAAGAGAGTATCAATTACACGACTAAACGCTAAAGAAAAAATAACAATAGGTTATGCATTTTTATCTAATTTATTGCAAAATAAAAAATAAATATTCAATACATTCCCGTTCATAGTATTGAATAGGGGTGTGCATTCGATTTATTGATTCGATTTTGACCCTTATTGATAATTACTTATCGATTATCGATTTGTAAATATGCTTATCATTATCGTTTCAATAAGGTTTCGATTTTTGCGGTTTCGATTTATCGATTTTGGGGGCTTATCGATTCGGTTATCGATTACACCAATAAGAAAATTTGCGGGATTCCACGGAAAGTATATCGCTATAAACACGCCTAACTAATATGGACAAAAAGAAGCTAAAATAAGACGAACACCGTTTATAACATAAAAATTGTGTCAACAAGCACATGCAACAAAACTAAAGTAAGGGATCAAATGTATGCCACCAACACTCTAACGGTATAAAAAAAATACATTATCACGGCTAATTTTGTTTTCCATTAATTTGAATTTCATTTTCTTGATCTTTAAATATGATCATTCCTTAAATGTGGTAGAGGAAATAATAAGTTAGGGACTTAGGGTAAAGGAAAGGGTATTATAGAATTAGGGTAAAAACAATTGTCTTTTTAGTATATCTTATCGGTTTATCGATAAATCGATAACCGAAGAGGACAAAATCGAAATCGAAATCGATAACTCGATAAGGAAAATTTCGAAATTGAAATCGACATCGATAAACCGATAACAAATAATCGATTTGATTTATCGATAAACCGATTCGAATGCACACCCCTAGTATTGAATTGAATATCTTTTATTAGCATTAGTATTGATTTGATTTTGGTTTGGGCTTTTGTTAGCATTATTTAATGGGAATTTTTCATAAAGCACCATCTTTTTGGTCTAATTAGCCATTTATAGATACCCTTTGCTATATTACGTGTTATAGATACCTTTTATGTTTTTATACAATATATTTCATGTATTTAAGCTGTTGTATTCATTAATACAACAAAAAAAATAGGCGTAAAATCTGGAATTCCAGCTAAGTTTGACATGTATTTAGCTGTATTCAAGCGACATTAACATTAAATACAGTAACGTATCTGCGCTAAAAATGGAAGAAAATAAAATCACATGATATTCTCCTAATTTAACTCAACGAACTAAAATGATCCCTCATTAATCTGTATTTGAAAGATACCTAATAAGATTATAGCTGAATAAAGAGAAATACATATGAATAATACAGTTGAATACAACAAAATACACCTTAATTCATCTTAATAAAACACTTAAATACAACAAAAATACAACTGAATACAACTGAATAAACTCTTGAATGCAACAAAATACAACTAACTTTTGCTGAATAAAATAGTTGAATATAATTAACTACAACTGAATACAACCGAATACAGTTGTATAAAATACTTGAATACAACTAACTACTGCTGAATAAAATAGTTAAATACAACTAATTAAACCTGAATACAAGTGAATACAGCTGAAGAATACATTCGAATACAACTGAATACAAATAGGCGATTTGAGCGATCTAGAGAGAGAAACAGCCCTAGGGCTTCGCCGGCCGGCGGCTAGCCATTAATTCCGGCTGGTCAGCCTCCTAACACATCTACAAAAACCCCAGCCTTGGAAGTTCTGGTGCAAGAAATCGCAGCCGCTGCTACCCACAACGGCAAGGTGTTCGTGTACGGCATGGGCCGTTTATCCTGTCCTCTTTCCTTCCCCCCTATTAAGCTAATTGTAATTGACTCCATTGCTGCTTTATTTCGCTTTGAATTTGAGAACAACGCGCGTGATCTTAAGCAGAGATCGGGTTTATTCTTCAAGATTTCAAGCAAATTGAAAGAGCAAGCTAGGCGTTTTGGGTTGGCAGTAGTGGTAATCAACCAGGTTGTTGATGTAATTGATGATTCTAATAGTGTAAGGATTGAAAATTGAAAATTTGGGTGGGAGAAGAGTTAAGAAACTAGGGTTTGTGGGAGAAGAGAGTCTGGTTGTATGCAAACAGAGAGATTGTATTGAGGTTTGCAGATACGCGGTAATTATGTGAGAGAAAATACAAAAAGGGAGAGAGAAAAAAAAAATATTTAGCATATATGGTGCCTTAATTGTAGGATGTAATTATATTTAAATTTTTTGCTATAAAGGATAAAAGGTATTTATAGGATGTAATATTTTAAAATGATATTTATTTAAAATAAATAGGGTACTAAGGTTTTCTATAGGGTGTAAAAATTCCTTATTTAATTTACTAATGTTAATGGCTATAAAACTTATTGTAACATTCAAAAGTTCTAAGTCCAACCTTGAAATAATACCTTAAAAGATAAAATTATGAAATTTTTTAAGAAATATTTATAAATTACATCACAATAAGTATATTTATATATTAAATATATTTAAAATTTCTATATATGTAATGTCGGGTTGGTTTGGTTTGGTTTGACTTTCTTTAGTTAAAACCAAACCAAATCAATTATGGTCGTTTTTTTTTTCAACACCAAACCAAATCAAATCAAACCATAATCGGGTTTTTTTCTCGGTTTGACTCGAATTATCGACCACAACAACAACAACAACAACAATCTAGTATAATCCCACTTAGTGGTGTCTGAGGAGGGTAGTGTGTACGCAGACCTTACCCCCTACCCTAGGGTAGAGAGACTGTTTCCAAATAGACCCCCGACATCCTTCCCTCCAAAAACTTCCCACCTTGCTCTTGGGGAGACTCGAACTCACAACCTCTCGGTTGGAAGTGGGAGTTGACTCGAATTATCGAGTTGGTGCAATTTGTCGGTTTCTTTTGTACACCCCTACCTGCTACTTTTACACGATTGCCATAAAAACTTTTGAAACTTTGTTTTTTAGATACAATTAATACTGGTTATATGCAATTGCAATTTGCTCTCCTTAACAGCTTTTGGAAATTGCACGTGTTAAGTGTTCGACTACTTTATGCATATTATTACCTTTAGAACTTTTAAACTCTTGGCCTCTGTAACAAGACTAAACTTTTAGCTTCTAAAAACTGCGACAAAATTCATTTTCTTTAGTAAGGGTAAAGACAAGTTAAAAGAAACAATATCGTATAAATTATTAGTGTCACTTGGGATAAATTTATAGTTTTCTTACTAGCTATTTTAGACAAAAACCCTACCAGACCAGTCCCACAAAGGTACGAAGTAAGGCAAGACTCAACTACCTCCTAACCTACAACCCTAATACTCGACCTCCACATCTTCCTATCAAGTATCATGTCCTCGAAAATCTGAGACCTCGCCATATCCTGCCTGATCACCGCTCCCCAATACTTCTTAGGCCGCCCTTTACCTCTTCTCGTGCCCTCCACAACCAACCGCTCACACCTCCTTACTGGAGCATCGGGGCTTCTCCTCTGAACATGCCCAAACCATCTGAGCCTCGCTTCCCGTCTCTTGTCATCAATGGGAGCCACGTGCACCTTATCCCGAATATCATCATTCCTAATCTTATCCATCCTAGTGTGCCCGCACATCCACCTCAACATCTTCATTTCTGTTACCTTCATCTTCTAAATGTGTGAGTTCTTAAAAGGCCAACACTCAGTCCCATACATCATGGCCGGTCTAACCACTGCTTTATAGAACTTACCTTTGAGTATTGGTGACACTCTCTTGTCACACAGGACTCCAGATGCTAACCTCCACTTCATCCATCCTACCCCAATACGGTGTGTGACATCCTCGTCGATCTTCCACCCCCCTGGATAACCGACCCAAGGTACTTGAAGCTGCCACTACTTGGGATGACCTGTGATTCAAGCTTCACATTCACGCCCACTTCCCCCGGCTCAGCGCGGAACTTACATTTCAGGTATTCCGTCTTCGTCCTGCTCAACTTGAAACCCTTAGACTCAAGAGCATGCCTCCAAACTTCCAGCCTCTCGTTAAGAGCAGCTCGCGACTCATCAACTAGAACTATCTCGTCGGTGAATAGTATGCATCATGGCACCTCCCCTTGAATATAGTGTGGTAACACATCCATCACCAGGGTAAATAGAAACGGACTGAGCGCAAAACCTTGGTGTAACCCCACTACAACCGGAAAATGCTTAGAGTCGCCTCCTACTGTCCTAACCCTAGTCTTAGCCCTATCATACATGTCGTTAATTGCCATATTGTAAGGAACAAAATTAATTGAAAACTTGAACTCAGTTTAATTGAATTGAAATTTTTATTTTTTAATCGATCGATTAATCTCACGTAACAACAAGCAACCTAGTTAATGTTGTTTAATTAGGCTGTCACATGAGATAACAATGTCACAAATGTTCTCATATTCATGTCACGATCATTGGTATCAAAACTGAAATTTCCATCTTATAACAGGGCTAAAAACGTTAATATAACTTCAAATCCAATAATGGAACAAAAGGTACATAAACATGCTCTCAACTGCAATCATGTCCTTTAATTTTGGGTGTGCATGAGTAGGCACCTCAACTTGTCTCCACTTTGTCAGTTGGACATTCCAACTTATAAAATGATCATCTAGACACCTTCAAATTTTATGCATCACATCAGTGACACACTAGCATTTATGTTTTGCGTTCAACTTTATACAAATTGAGGCACAATCAAAGTTGGAGGGCATACTTGCCATGATATCAAATTTAAGGGTCCGTTTATGTATTGTGTCTAAAATAATGGACCATTTTTGTCAATGTTCTTTTCCTTTCCTCTTTTGTCAACCTTCTTGATCCTGTCTAATCTTGTGGTTTTTGTCTAAGCTTTGACCTTACATCTTTAGTCGTTCCTTCAAACTTATGTGACGATCTCCATGATTGAATCAGAAATTTTCTGCTTGAACTTTTTTGATTTGTGCGCTGTCAATCTGGAATGCCGTGCGTTATCACTTTTAGGTTCTTTTGTTGGGAGAGAAGTTAATGTATTTTATTTATAAAAGCACCAACGTCGTGCTTTCTATAGAGAGATAACAACAACAACAACAAATCCAGTGAAGTTTCACAAGTGGATTCCGGAGGGGTAGTGTGTACGCAGACCTTACCTCTCATGGAAAGATAAAAAAATTATTTCCGATAGACGGTCGGCTCAGGAAGGAAGAAAGGAAGGAAAGAAATAGTAGAAATTTAGAGAAGTCCTTTAACGATGCATGGAACTCAATTAGTCTAACTTTTCTTATACATTGCTTACAGCATCACATTTACTCCAAAAGAACAGAAGATGAAGACACAAGCCTTTCAGTTGCTGAATTGTCTATCTTAATCCTAACTACTCCCTCCGTTTTAATTTAAGTGTCTTAGTTTGACTAGGTACAAAATTTAAGAAAATAAGGGAGACTTTTGAATTTTGTAGCCTAAAATTAGAGATTTGTGTAATGTACCAATATCCCCTTTGATTCTTGTGGTCTTAAACAAGCCAGGTAGGGTATTGGAATTGGAGACTTACTAAATATAGAAAGATGCATTCTTTTTGAAATAGAAGGGGAGCCTTGACGTAACTAGTAAGTTGATGCACGAGTTCGAGCCGTGGAAACAATCTCTTGCAGAAATATAGGGTAAGACAACGTACAATAGACCCTTGTAATCAGGCCCTTTCCCAAACCCCGCACATTGCAGGAGTTTAGTGCACCGAGCTGTCCTTGCCTTGCATTGTTTTTGGAATAGACTGAAATGGAAATTAAGCCACTTAAATTGAAACGGAGGAAATAGTTGGTATCTTGTTGATGGATCTTTTCTTCCATTGTATTCTATTTTTTAACTATGTTTGTAGATGAGATAACCGTTCTATTATTATATCTTTTACCACATAAGGGAATAGGGAGACATCTTCTGCTCGAATTGATCCTCAAGTATTTGGTTGATTTACTTCGGCAGTGCTACTTAAAGTACTGCCTAAAGGCTGTAATGAAGCTGGTGCAAGCCAGTTTCAAGTCTAATGAGGTAGATTTGGTCATTACTTTGGTAATGTGGACTTTATGGACTCAATAGAGAGCGATGGGTTTAAACTATCAAAATAAAATCAGTCAATCAGTCCTCAAAGTTAAAGGATTAGTAATCATTATCAGAAATCAGATTCGGTCTTATACATACGCGAAAAAGGAGATCAAAACATCAAGTAATGGGTTCTTTCTTTTATCACTTAGAAGTCGTGTGAGATGAATGAGAGCAAGAAGTGAGGAATCCTCTTTTCCACTTTGAATCTACCACTGCAATCATTGCTTTTTCTTTCTTTATTTTTTTTTTAAAAAAAAATTAATAACAGGTATCATTAATTTTCTTTCTGTTACTTTGAAAGTAGATGCTTCAGCTTCAGTCACTCGAATCTTCAATTTCAGCCCTAGGTGGAACCAATTGAAGTCAGTTACATCATAGTGAATTTGAGTCATGTTTTGTTTCATGTACTGTTAACTGCCTTTTGATAGGCTAGAAGTGTACTTAGATCAAATGTCCAAATTACAAGTAATTCCCTTCTCACAATTGACTTGAAAAAAGATAGATTGATGACATTAATTTATTGACAGTAAAGTTTAATTTGGTGTTATCTTTTCAGCTTCATTTTTCATATGTGTAGCAATATTCATTTTTCTTCGTAGTAAAACATTAATATATCCTGTTTCCAGTTGGCATCTTGTAAATGTGTGGAACCTATTGTTGCGGAAGTCAAATGTATATAGTGTGAATAAGTCACAACTACTATACTAAAAATTATGGCAGCCACCAAATAATAAATAAGACAATAAAGCAACAATAAAAGGAACACCAGAATTTACGAGGTTCGGCCAATTTTGCCTACTTCCTCAGACACAACCAATATTTTATTCCACTCCAAAAATACAATTGAAATAATACTAAAGAGAGAAGATACAAATGCCTTAAGAAGATAAGAAGGCAAATGAGATGTGTGTTTTTAAATCCTAAACATTAGGCCCCTTTTATGAGGGAAGAATCCCAACAATTTTTCTCCCCAACCGACGTGGGAGTTTGACAACTTCAACACCTATAACCTGTCAGGTTTTGAGGTATTTCTTTGGAATCTACACAGGGTAGAGGGAAAAACAATTCAGATCTGTCGGAGGCTAAAGGATTTCTGATTTGAAGAGCATAGTCACAATGCCAATGGAGAATGCTGAGCTTACTACAGAGCAGGTAATAATTTCATGCATAAGCACAATAAAGAAGCTACATTATACACAAGCACATAAAAAATAATGAACAGTTTTGGACCGATAACTAGCTTGGATTATGAGTTTCGCTGCCATCATAGTCAACATGCATCACTCATCAATTAAAAAGAAATTCATACTGAACAATCATCACAGGATTTAGGTCTCTTAGTCTTATCAGTTGGTTGCTTCATCTTGTTTCCATTTACTTATCAAGAAAGTTTAGAATAGTTGTCAACATCAATAAAAGCTAATTGGAAAGAATTCCATGCATTAAATTATAGACGAATATACATTTGGTTGCCAATTTTTCCTTTTATGTTGTTGGATTGGCTAAGGTGTGTATTTTGATTTTTGGAAGTTGAAGGCATGTGTTTAAAGGAGAAAGAACTCATTACCGTCAGGAGTTTCTTTTGTGGACTGTGGCTTTATTTCTTTTGGTTGTGGGGAAAGGGGGTGGGGGGAAGAAAAAAACCTGAAAAGATAAGTGATCAACCGGGTCTTTTTTGGCACTGCTGATTGTTTCATAACATTTTTATGTCTTTCTATTTCCTAAGGTTTTGAGCAGGGATATCCCATGGGAGACATACATGGCCACAAAGCTGATCACAGGAACAGATTTTCAGCTATTGAGACGCTATGACAAGAAGGCAGAAAGTTACAAAGCCCAGTTGTTGGATGATGTAATATTTCTTGGCAGCTAACCCGAACAGAGCAAGGCTATTCCATGATAACAGTCTTGAAGATGAAGATACCTATGAGCCTTTCCTCAGGTAATACTCTTCATAACCTTTTTTATTAAATTTTTGGTTTGCAATCCTTTGAATGCAATCTGCTGTCCTTTATTTACAGTGGTGATGTAGAAATTGTTTTCTTTCTCATGATATGCAATTTGCATGCACCCCCGGTTGAAGTTGTCAAACTCCCACATCGGTTGGGGAGAAAAATTGTTGGGATTTTTCCTTTATAAAAGGAGGCCTAATGTTTAGGATTTAAACACACCTCTCATATGCCTTCTTATCTTCTTAAGGCATTTGTATCTTCTCTCTTTAATATTATTTCACTTGTATTTTTGGAGTGGAATAAAATATTGGTTGTCTCCAAGGAAGTTGGGAAAATTGGCCGAACCTAGTAAATTCTGGTGTTCCTTTTATTGTTGCTTTATTATTTTATTTATTATTTGGTGGTTGTCATAATTTTTGGTATAGTAGTTGTGACTCATTCACACTATATACATTTGACTTCCGCAACAATTGGTATCAGAGCCAAGGTACTGTCTAAGTATGCTCTGTGGTTGCAGCATAGTCTGATCTTCCACACCAGAAAAGATTTATCTTGGTAACTGAGTCAAGGTTCTGTCTGAGTATGCTCTGTGGTTGCAGCTTAGTCTGATCTTCCACACCAGAAAGGAAATAATCTTGTTATGACAAGAATTGTGTCAAATGCGAAATTTGGGGTAGAAATTTTTGACGGGTCCGAACATTTTGGGATGTGGCAAGGCGAGGTTCTAGGTGTTCTTTTTCAACAAGGGCTAGATCTTGTCATTGAAGAAAAGAGACCAGATGTTATTGGAGA